GAAAATAAAGTCAAAACACATTCGTAAATCAAGGCAACTCTTGTTTCTCTAGTTTATATCAAGTGATGATGCCAAATGAAATTTACCTTGAACACACACAATGAAAACTAAAGTCATATTGTTAACCTGATTAACTTTTACCACTCGAGTGGTTCCTCTTTAGCTTTTTCAACAATTTTACTCGAAAAATTGAAACTTTCAAACTTTGATTGGTAAAGCAGAAAACAAGAGCCAAAACATATCCATTAGAACCTAATAATATTGAGATCTCGAAGGTTCACATTTGTCGAGTAAACAAGTGTTCAGACAAGGGTGGGTGGAAAAGCAGACCAATTTGAGACGCTACACGTCAAAGCTTTAGGTGAAGTAAACAAGACATTGACAGTAAACTTGTTTCAACAGTCAATCAAGATTAACTTTCAATCATATTTGATGTCGCATTGTATTCAAAGTCAGTCCATTGTTTCATTTCCAAGTTAAAACTCGCTCATTATTCCAATTACCAATTTCAATATTACGTTTTATCTCAGTCAGTCAGATAGCTGAATATTCAATGAAAACATTTTCATTTGTTTTCTAGTTCAAACATTGAACAAAGAGCGCAAAAAAACTGTTGAACGAATAAAAGATTATGCCAAAGATATCAAATTTTTATCCTTTCAAGAAGAAAAAGAATATTTATTTCCTGGAAAATTTTTCTTTTCGATTGTTATTGCTATTCTTATTCAAGAATGGAAATGGCAGTCATGAGAAGAAGAAGAAGAAAAGTTCAGATAAAGGTGTTATTCTTATTGTATTACAAGTTGATTTATGCAAACACAAAAGTGAATTGGAAAATGTAAAACACGAAAAAGACACAAAACTTGAAGCAAGTGTTGAGAGTTATTTGAGTTGACGAATTATTTTCCAATCATTTTTACACTTTTGTTTCAAGTCGAGTTGAAATTCGAATGTCATTTCCTGGATTTTATCTAATCAAGTTTACCTTTTTGATGAAATTCATTTTCATGTTTTGAAACAAATGTTTACATTTTTCAGAGTAAATAACGAATGAATGTTTTTTTCATTTTTAATCTTTTCTGTTGAAACATTGAACTTTCATGTTGAATTAGGCAATTTTGGTTTAAACACAGAATAAAGATTTGAGACATTTTCTTCTCAGTATTTTCCAGATAAATTGAGTCTACATGATTACCTTTAATAGCTTGTTTGAATTCTCATGGTATTCCAGGAAGAAGAAAAGTTTGAAAATTAGAATAAGAATAGTTTCTTCTTGTCGACGAAGTTATATTTATCTCATTTTTTGCTGTTTCTTGTTTCAGTTAATCTCGATTTTATCCTCTATTTCACCATTTTCATTTCATTTCATCTTTTCTTCTTTTTAGTTGATCTTTTCTTTGACTTTGTTCTTGCTTGTTCATGATAGGCTTGGATTTGTTTTGAATTTCTATCAATTGTTCATTTTGTCGTCGCTCAACATTACACCATTGTATCTCGTGATTATGGGTAAAACAAAAATGGATAAAATGTGAACAATCATTTACTTCATCAAGTATGTACTTGTACTTTTAAAGCCTATCATTTTGTGGGTTCACTTTTAGTTCTGTTTTTCAAACATGAACAGAATATACTGAAAGACTTTATAATGATGAGCTCAAAGTCTCATGAAAACTTGAGACAACTTGGGGTTGATTCAAATTGAAAATGCAAGCATTTCTTGAAAAATAACTTTTTCGCTTTTTGAAGGAACAACTTTTCAAAAATGATTACTCAAAGATCAAAGAAATGTTATTTGTGTGGTCAACAGTCAAATGAGATTTCAGACAATTTTTATCTCCTATTAGTAAAGATAAACGCAAGATAAGACAGATCGAGACAGGAATGTTATTTATGAAAAAATTTTCGGAATAAAAAGTTGTTCCATCCTTGCAATTTGAAATTTCTTCCATCAGTCATCGCTCGATCACCTATCACCCCATTAGCCTTCCATCATCAGTACTTAGTATGCACTTGATTCATAATAACTGTAATAATTTTAATAATTAACGCTTTTTCTTAACCTTAACTTTCCACAATTGCTTATCTTTGCGGCTTTTCACTCTTTCTTAATCCAATAATCTACTTTATTGTCACCGATCCTCTCTTCTTAAAAAGCGTCAATTCAAGTCAGAGTTTAACTAACCTTCAACCCGTAAACATTAGTGTTGATTTTCAATAAACTGCACACTTGTTGTGTTACCAACCTTTCATTTCTTTTGATTACTTTATTTTCTGGATTTTGAGACATACAAGTCTTGAATATTCAACTTTTTATTTGTTTAATCAACCAGAATTGTGAAATTTTATCATTTCTTTTATGCTTTTGTCTCATGATTTTGTCACTGCATAATTTTGTTTGATAATTGCTAGTTCATGATAACAACAGCAAAAACTGATTAACTAACACCTTTATAATAAATTAAAAGATTAAATTTCCCAGTTGTTTTAGTTTTTTATCATATTTTTACTCTTTAGCTAAAGAGATTTACCATGCAAGGGATTTACTGTTTGCATTAGAAGCAAAGTGAAAAAACAAGTCAACAAAAAATGGCACTTGGTTGAGCAATAGAGTAAACTTAAAGTTGAAAATAGCAATTTGTGAGAAACTGAATGTTGGAAAGGTTGAGACTTGAAAGAAAAAAAACTTTGCTGGAATGGCGAAAAAACAAGATTCGTTGCTTGAATCAATCATTAAATTACCTTTATTTGGTCACTCACTTGACTCATGTTTAATCGGAAGAGAAACTTTTCTTCCCTCATTACACAAGACATTCGATGTTGAGCAAAAATAAACAAACGCTACTTCTAGAACTGTCATCCTGATAATATTGCTGTCCAATCAAACTTTCAATTTTTCATTTTTTCTTGTTCACTTTCAATTTCCAGCTCGTAATCAATGTTGACTGAAATGCCTTCAAGGTTAACAATGAAAGTCGACAGTTTTGCAGTTTTGCTCAATTCTAGTACAATTGCTATCAATACTGTTATAATAGATTATTAACAGAAACTAGAAAAACCGAAATTTCAGGCTATTCATGAAAATATATCGACAGAATTGCTCAAATTTTATCACTGAATCAATTGCAAAATATTCATAATAAGTACATTTTACTTCAACATCAACATTCACTGTTTTAGTTTTAGTTTCTTTCACTTGTTCGCATCATTTTTTGCTCTTTGCACACTTCATCAGTCATTCATCAACGACAGATTTATTGCCTTTGAGGTATTTCGATCGATGTTTATGTTTAACACGAGTGAGTCATATGCACCACAAAAAAGGATGAAAAGTTACTTCTGAAGTAATTCTGCAAACAGAATTGATATTTGAAAATTTTCACTGTCTCTTCTTGCAAAGGAAAAGTTTGAGTTTTAAGGACAGTTGAAAACTCAATGCAGCAAGAATACTTATTTTGTCGCTCTAAGCTTTTCCTGTTACTTTTTCACATACCGGTATTTAACGAACTAGACTTTTTTGGTATTTTCGTTTTGTCTCATTTCATGACATTTCATTTCATGATAACTCGTATTATGAGTCATTATTTTTGAACGAATTTGAAGGTAATTTTAACTCCACCGTTTTTCATTTATAGATTAATAGGATCACGTAGTCAAGCGTGCTTGGTTGAGTATAAATTTTAGTGATTCTAATGCTGAGACAAAATGAAGAGAGATTCGTCTCTATTATATCATAAATCAAATACTGATAGATTATCAAATTTTTAAAATAGACCTTGAGCTGGAGCAGATAGCGAGCATTTGAAGACTCGATTACTTGATTATTTTTGAATGCGACTAGAATATAATTGAGTATTACAGATATTCAGTACAAGACCTGTTTGAGGATATCCACGACGATTGCAGCACCGGAATAGGATATTTGCTTCTTTTACTTGCTATTAATAGAATGATTAAAATTCAAAATTGTATAGAATGTTCATATTTTTGTTAGTAAATATTAATAGATTGTGTTATATCCAGGGATTGACATAAGTATCTTGGGTTTTAACCTGAGGTTGGAGTTTCTGTTTATTTCAATTCCTTTGTTGGCATTGTGATTTCATTTTCTTCTCAATGAGACATCCATTTAAAATTTGATGGCCAAAGTTGGAGTTTGTTTACAATTTTGGTCAAAAAGTTTTAGTTACAAAACAAAAGATGCTTAAAATTATCTGATTCAATAAAAGTTAAAAAATGTCTTTTATCTGAAATGAAATAAAAATTAACCTTGCAGGCTCATAGAACCATAATAAGCTTTTTCTTTGTAAGCTTATTATTTCTTCACCCATTGACTATCAAACTAAAATTTATTATTTTGCTGCATTATCCTCTTGTGTTTAACCTTTCATCTTAAGCTTTCGACTGCAAAAATATTTTGCTGACGAAATCTTAAATTTTTCAGCAAATAAATTTTCCACTGACCATTTACTATTTACAGTAAACCAACGATGGTCATCTGTAAAAAATTGCAAAATTACGCTTCACAACTAGCTCCATATCTATGATTAAATACCAAAGGGTCAAAAATAACATTTAGTTTTCTGATGAAAAGACCGTAAATTTTTACTCATTGTACTGCAATTAGTCTGACCCATAAGTCTTTTTTAATGGCTAAAGTTGAATTCCTTCTGTCAAGATAATTTGCTGTGTAAAAATAGAATCCAAGCAAAAGTATGCAATAAAAAGTCCAATTCTAGTTCGAAATGAAACTTGTTTTAGAACTGGGTATTAATCGTCGAAAATACATATACATTTTCTATGTGCATAAATCAAATAATTTCATAACCAGTGATTTTTCTCAAACATTTTTCGAGTCGAATTTTCAGTCTCATTGTCAAAATTATCGACATCCATGTTCAAGAGAACTTCGAAAAAAAGGAATTCGAATCGAAAATCCAAGTGATTTGAATGCATATTAAACGATTAATCTTTTCGTTTTCAATGTTATTCTTTTTTCGATTCTTATGCAAGATTGCAATATATGAAAAGTCCCTGAGTTTCGACTCGAACGCCATCTCTTGGAGTTCATTTTATCACTGATATAGCATTCTGTTTCTCCAGCATACAAAACGAAAAGAAATTATCCAAGATTCGTTTCCAGTCAATTCATTCACTTGTTCAATAAATCTTTTGTGCTCTTGATATACGTGAACGTGGAAAATGCAACCTTTTATTCCGTTCATCTCTTTATTATATACTTATCAATATATTCATCAAAATGAATCCACTTTTTAACCTTATTCTGGTTCAGCCATTCTTGAAGTAAACAAAATCATTTGTTCCATATTGAAAGGCAACATTCTTCCTGTAGAAGCAAAATCCCCCAAAATTCTTACAAACATATACACAAATACTGACACTGATTTGCTCAGCATTTTCTTAGGTATGCTTAATCAAACATTTCCTATCCCATTATATTATCCTTGTGGCTTTACCTTTCCTTGTTAATATCAATATGCAACTCCCTGTTATCTTAATAATGCAATGTCGAGTATAAAGACAACATCAAAAAAAATTCATTCCCAGTCAACTAAACCTGCTTGATTAAGGTTCTCAGAATTCATTACAAGGATTGTCTTAACAGTAAACAATAACAAGATAGAGACTTAGCATTCACCGGTTATAAGCCAATCTGCGCATTGGCCAAGTTGAATGTTGAAAATTAAATGGAAAAATATTCAACATTTTGCTTGGAAGATTTCAAAATCAAGGTTTAAATAAATTTTCCAATGAAAGTGAGTTAAGCCTTTATCAAGGAACTATCAAAGTTTCCAAGGAAAATGTTGCTGGGAGGATAAAAATATTTGAAATAAAGCAAATTTTCTGTGATATTTCCTCATTTCTGTTTTCTGTCACATTTAACTTGAAAATATGGCGAAAGGAAAGGTGATAATGAACGTGGAAATGGGCGCAAAAAATACAATCAAATTAGTCGACAAAGAATAAGTTTATTTTTAAGCAAAAGAAAAAGACTTTTATCGACTGTAATAATGATTCTCAATATGGTGGACAGGAAAAATGTTGAAGAATATAAATTTTCGCTCTTTCCTTGGATTTCCTTTCAACTCTTTTATTCCCTTTTTCACTGCATTTCCAATCATTATTACAACCTCGTTTTGTATTATTTACTTTATACACCATGAAAATCAAGAATCACGCACCAACAATAGATTATCTGGAATATTCATGAGCAAACTTTTTTCATTACTTATATAAATATTTCAATTCATCTTCCTTTTTTTCCTTCTCTTGAACCTTTTCTTTTCATATAATTTTTTTCAATAAACTTTTCATTTCTACTTTCCATTAGCTTATAATGAACTACTTGTTGAGCAAGGATCATACCTTTGGTAAAGTTATGATTGCAAGTCCTGGGAATGAGAAAAATCAAGAACTCAGATGAGAATTACAAATGATTCATTATCAGAATTGCATCGATAAATTTGCCAAAGAATGTGTTTCCATTTTGATATTGAATTGCAATCCTGGGTCCAGACTTTAGCTTTTCAATGCTATGACAGAATTTGTTACATTCGAAGAATAGAAATTCAATGACAAGATTACCTGAACATTTACATGGAAAACATTTCTTGTAAAGCAATTTTGTGCATTCATTTCATAGCCAATAAAATTGCTAATGTCGTACCTTTGATTAGAAAGTGAAAATCTGTTTATCATGATGAATACATAAATGAGAATATTTCATCGAAACTCAATTTTTCGTCAACAATATTCCCCAATATCTCGGATCGATAAGTAAAAAATTGATATTATTTCATTTTTCACTGAACTCCATTTACCTTGGAGTTTTTACTCCAGTTTATTGATATTGATACAAGCGTCAACATTTTTGCACAACAATGTCATCCATCAAGTGATGCTTGAGGTTTTACATTTGTAAGTTAATGTTTTGTCAAAGATAGCAAATGTGAAAGTAACGAAATGAAAAATTGTTTTTCCAGCAAAATTCAACCATCAATTTATTCTAATAAATGCAAAAATCAGAATCAAACAGAAACATTGAAATCGATGAAAGATATAGACGCATGAATTCAATTAAATCAGACTAAAGATGAAATGTTTGATTTACTTTGCCAACCTTTTAGTCTAAGATTTTCATCTAAACAGAGAAAACATAATTCAGTTCAATTATTTATCTGTTGAAAGATTCTTTAATCAACTTCAAGATTCAGCTTAATTCTGCTGAGAAATGAATAGGAAAATAGGCAAACCATTTGAACAAGAAGAAGGCTTAAGATGCATTAAAACATTAAACATTGCAAATTGAATTGAAATGCATGAGGAATTGAAATTTTCTAGATTCGCCAAAAAACCTGGTTTCTATCCATCTGCTGAAATGATCACTTCCAGGATTAAAATTGTCTTTGAATTATTTTTTCCTCAAAATTCGAAAAAAACGAAATTAAAAAAAAGATCGAAAATTGATGTCCAAACGGACAATCCGACTTGACAAGTTGCCTTAAAAAGCAATTTAAGTCTAATTTTTAGAGCATTTACTTTTGTTGTCAAACGACTTCGACTGAGATAATCACAAAATAATCAAATAAAAAACCTAATCAATGAACCATGAATATCGTACATGATGATGATGAAGGTTGAAAAGTGAAAGATGTAAAATAGCTGAAAAGATCAACTGGAAAAGATGAAAAGTGAATGTGAAAAGAAAATTTTGATGAAGTGAATGATATTAAAGCCCTAAAGCTATTAAGTTTGGCCTGATAATAGAGTGAATAAAAGACGAAATGGAATGGATAAACAATGTTGACATTGTTAATTGTTTCTCCTTTTACCTTGTTTATCAGCGTCTGAATCTTGACTGAAAGACAATGAGTGAAAAAGTATTCAGAATAAATTGAACTTTTTACTTATTTTCTCATTAAGTGATAAGTGAAAATGAAGTTGAAAGGTAAAGAGGAAAACGGTTTCAATAAGAAACAATCTAAATCTTTTCTTGGTTCCTTCTTCTTCTTTTTTGTTTCGCTTTTGATGTCTTTTCATCACCATCATCATCTTTTTTCCTTTTCTTTCTTTATTCAATTCTTTTGCCAACTTTTTCTAGGTTAAAGACATGGAACCTGAGTCTAGTGATGATCAACCTAAAAGAAGGCTGATTCGAGCAAACATTAGTCTTAGGTTATCAACAAGCTTTGATGATGATGAAACTCGAGGCTTGTCTGAGGCTCAATCATTGGAAACAACGGATGATCCGTTTTCAGAGGAAGAACCAGAGGGTGAAGAAAATGATGAACTAGAAAAAGATGATTTACTTAATGAACATGTTCATCTTGATGATTCTCTGATGGAACAAGGAATAATGCACAAAAGCAACATTGAATTGGAAAATGATTATGAATATGACGACGATGATGATGATGATGAACATCAAATTGATTCACATAAAGATGAGCTCGGACAAAAGCCTGATGTGACCAGTGATTCTCCAGCTGTTAAATTTTCTGATCGACTTTGTAAGTACCTTTGCAACTTCGAAAGCCATCTTTTCCTTTTTTTACTTCTCATCACTTAACTCTGTGAATCAGATTATTGTTTCAGTTGAAGCCAATGATATATTTACTAATTGCTTTGTTAAACAAACAGCTTTAAAGCTTGAATGCAAAAGTGAACAAGAATGTTTCATCAGCCAATCTGATGACAATCAAGTTAAAGGCTTTAAATGGATCAAATGAATCATTAGTTTTTAATTGGTTTAAATGTTCAGTCCACTGAGTTTGTGTTTAGACGATAAATCTCTGTCTTGTTCAACTCGATGGAATCTGTTAATTGTCGAGATTAAAATTACGAGACCATTTTGTTGATGTTCATCATGAAAGTGCTGTTGCAATTGTCTACCTTAATCAACAGCTAATCAGATTGGAATGAAGATTTGAGAGGAAAACGGAGAAAGGAAGAGAAAAAAAGAAAAGCGAAAGAATTGAATTTAATCAAGAAATTAGCTTGTCACCGTAATGGCTAACAAAGTAATTACTCTTCTAGTGTCACATTAACATTATTAAAAGCGTATAATTCTTTTGTTCTCCGCTAATTCAATTTAATTGTGTTTGGATTAATGTTGAATCTGTTTACCGTTTGCTATCATTTGCTAAACAGCTTCAACCAGCATTAAGTCGTGTTATTGTCTTAAGTGACAAGTGGATGTTGAAAGTAAATGAAAAATTTTGTTGTTTCAGTGTTTACGCTATAATGACTGAAACCATTTGGTCCAAGTTTAATTGCTTGAAACGTTAAAATCATTTTCTTACAAAGTAAATGAATAAAAGACTTGATGATGGGCAAGGGAAGTAAATGAGAACCAGAAACTGACTTGAATGAGTTCAACTCTTCCTCAGAACAAAACTTCGAAGTGCTATAGCTCGAAAATCGATAATATGCCAGAGAATAAAAATTTGACTCAATTTCCAAAAATAGTGCTCATCATGATCGATTGACATTCAATTGATGGTCCGATGGTCGAACCTTGTGGCTATATTGTTTGACAGGTTGGAGTGAAATATTGAAAATTAATTTTTGCGCCATTTGACACTTAATTTATAAAACTTATCATGAGATTTGGCAGCTTAACAGCAACTTTAAAATCAATTTGCTATTTTGCCTTTTGGCTTCAAAGTCCATCTTGCTTCATCTTTTCATAATTTGCTCTTTGAAGCTTTGACCTGTCATCGTTCCATTTATTGAATTTGTCATGAAATTAATTGCTTTGCAAGTGTTCTTACAGCGGATCAAAATTTTCAGCTAACAGTTTCCAGTTTAAAATGATTGGATTGGGATTGGTACGACACTTGCAGTGTTCACTTGAAACATATACAATTATGGTGTTGAGTCAACGACAAGAAATGAACAAAATTGAAATGCATTAAGCCGATGACAGTAGTTTAAATTGGTAATCTGAAAGGAATAGTAAAAGAGATGATGAAAGAAGAGGAAACAAAAAATGAACTTTTACGATAAAACCTTTTATAGCTTCATAGACAAGGCATAGACTGGTTTGATGAATGAAAAAAGGTGAACAAAATAGGGAAAGGATTTAAAAACGTAAGAATATCAAATGAATGTAAATGAATAAAATAGACAGAAAAGGAGTAATTCAGGGAACATCGATTGGTACTTAACAAATTTGAATATTAAATCATGAAATGCTCAAGTTTGCTGTTTTTCGCACAGACGAAAAGAATTCATTTCATCAAAAATTCTTTTCACTCCGACGAAAAGAATTCATTTCATCAAAAATTCTTTTCACTCCTTGCCAGTTGGGCCGTACTCTGCTTAAGGCTAGTATCTTGATCTTAAGTGTACAGCTCGTCATACTGGACATTAACTGCTATTCATCTTTACAACATTGAAAATGTCAACATCGTTTCATTTGTATTGAATGTGAATCACAATGACTTAAGCAATAATACTTGAATCAATTCTGGTTATCTAACAATTTTTTTAAAAAATGATGAATATCGATATGCTTGGATACCAAATAATGGGCGAAAAATAAGGTATCGAAGTCTAACTCCAATGTATATCGATGCACTAGCCTTTTAACGAAATTTCAAAGTCGATCGCATTAATCAACATTCTAGGTGCATTGCGATGAAATGATGAAAATTTAATGAGAACCTTTTATTGCTTTTTAATGTGATATTTTGTCATATTTTGCGCAATTCTTACACAACTGAATTGAATGTGGAATGAAAGAAGAAATTAAGTGTTCTAGGAATTTGAACATTTGCAATGTTCAAGAAAGCTGAGCTAGAAAGAAGAAATCAACAAGGAAATAAAATGGTCATCTCAGGATTTCTACAAACAGAAAAAAAGAATGTTGATCGAAAGGACATTGTATTCTGAGTTTGTAGTAGTGTAGTAAAGTCCTACTCTGGGCCAACTTGTCCACTCTAGGCCAAACGCGTTTCAAAACCTACATGGCTTTTTTTAACTTTTGTTTAAAATTTCGGCTGGCTTTTTGCTATTTTTGAAATTTTATGGCTTTTTTTAGCAAATACCATAAGTAAACCAAAACCTCACCATTTTACTACATTGTAAGTAGTCTTCATCTTTAGTACCTCGTTATCTATCGCTAACACTCATCAATTGATTGGAATCAATCGAATCAGGCTTATATTAACATATCGGAATATACCATACGTGCATGTATGCAGTGACTGAGTTACGTACAGTATAAGAGGTTGTTGCGAATATTATATTTGATTAGTTTATTACTAGTACACTATTTTTATATCATAACTTTTGGTTTACTCAAGCAGATCTTATTTCCACCCTCCAGCGTTTAACTAGAAGATATGATGTCGACAAATTTCGTGTGGCTGCCTCGATAACACAGTTTGTTTCTTTCAGAGAATATAGACATAGACAGTACCAAGTTAGTATTGACAGATTTGGACGACAAAAGCTACCTCATTTCAATTTAACTCTTGTGGTCTAACCTACAGAGTGTTAAAATCTGTGTCTTAAATATTATTTAAGTTTTTCTATTATATTTTGTGCATTTGCATTTTGTTATCTGTATAACTTAGATGCATACCTTGATTATGTTTACAAAAGAATGGAAACATTAGTTAAGTTTCCCCAAGAAGCTTTCAATAAACAATATATGGAAGCAATGCAGAAAAGGCAAAATAACACTTAATAATTATTTATATTAAATTGATTTCACTGACTTTTTCATCTAATCTATAGCAAATTTGCACATCATTAAAAATTCAATTCATTTGCTAACAAAAGCCTTACAATTATTTCAAAAATAGCAAAAAAGCCAGCCGAAATTTTAAACAAAAGTTAAAAAAAGCCATGTAGGTTTTGAAACGCGTTTGGCCTAGAGTGGACAACTTGGCCCAGATTTGGAATTTACTACACTACTGTTTGTGAATGCGAGTGAAATTTCTCCTTCTTCAAGCAGAGGCTTATTCGTTACTCGAGCAAGTGTTGATTCCCACAAATGACGTTGAGTGAACTTGATCAATCATGACTTCATTTTTAATTACAAGTGTGAATAATGAGTTGAATAGTAGCGGAATGTTTTCGAAAGTTCCGTTAACGAAAGCGTGATTTGTGCCTCAAAGATGAAGAAAACCATCCGTAGCAAATTTGCAGTCTTTTTCGAGGTTGATTTGTTGGAATTAGGTTCCTGAAAATGCTCAGATTTTTATATTCTTTTGTCTGAAAACAGTTAACTTGCCTGAGCAATTTCCATGAACCCAGTTTCAATGTGTTTTAGAAGTTTCTTTCTATCCATTTTTTCTTACGACACCTTATTTATTTCAACAACACTTTGACCACATTTTCATCCACCAAGTGCTGGCAAACAAAATCAATACTACACCAGAACTTTCACTTGAAACAATTTTTTATGAAAATTCCCAGTTCTAATTCATAGTTACCATTTATCGATTTTTAATTTTCAACGAAAATCTTATAATCAATTTAGTCTTGTCCATAGATGGTGACTGAGAAAGGATTGTTTTAAGTGGAGGTTGTAATGTAATCTTCTTAAAGTTTTATCTTTTCTTCAAAAATGTTTACTCATAGCCATGATAGGCTTAAACAATAAAATGATGCCACAGAAAATAACAGAATACAATTACATGTTAAGAATTGAAATCTTAAAAGCTAATACAGAAATCCAAATTTTTGAATCTTTAATGTTAAGAAGCTGCGATTTCCGTTTAGATTGAGTTAGTTTGATGACCAATTTGCTTCCCTTCATTAGACTCATCATCAATAATATAAATAAAAATGAATGACGATAAAAATTTGATCAACCTTTCGTATTAATTTTGCTCAATATTTTTGCTAACAGCAAGAGTTAATATAAGTAGTTTTGCTTTGAAAGGTTGAGAGAAAAATGTTTAAACATGAAAATAACGGTAAATTTTTTGATAAGTTGAATATTAACGGTAATGATACATTTGAGCAACGAATTTCTCATGTTTTCTCAAATTCATTTATTGACTTGGAGATTCAATGTTATGTGCAACTTGGCTACAAGTATCGACTATTCAATCATTGATTTCGTTTCAACAAGATAAAGTCTATTTTCTCGAATATTATCAAGAATGATTATTGATTACATGTTAACTATTGTGCAGGCAAGAAAAGAGCAACATAAAAATTAAATGATGAAAGTTACCTGATATTGCAACAAAAAGAATGTGAACCGAGAAGAAACAAAAATTCCAGTTGAAAGGGCAAAAAAAGGTGAATTGAATGAAAAATGATTGGACATTAAGAAAGCAAAATGCAATTTTGAGCAACATTTTGAATAAATTTTGTTTTTTTGTATCAAAAAGCCTCATTTTCAGTTTCCATTCAAATCAAAATATAAGTCGATATATTGAAATGCAATTGAATTGAACAAAATGTTGCAAAAAGAAACTCAAATAATTGAAAATGAAAACGCATCTAAATTTTCACTTCACTTCGAACACCTTTTCCTTCTCATAAC